TCTCTCTCTCTCTCAACTTGTGCCTGGCACTGACTGTCTTGCCCCACCATAAGTGATGAATCTGTAACTGACTCGACCCTGAAAGGCCTCATGATATCCACAGAGCTCGGCCACATCTCAAGGGGCACAAAGTCTGATAAATCAGACGGCTGCTTGTGGGGGGAGGGGGGCACCAAGAAGCCTTGTGCAAATCTTGTCTTCACTTGACTCTAGGTATTCACTTTGCATGCATTTTATCACTCACGTGGTTTTTGTGTTGTTCTGTTTTGACCTGATGGAAGATTGACAGAGCAAGGGAAAATAGCACTGAGACTTGGGGACTAGGTCACCATTCTTGGCACTTGTTTGAGCTATTTCGCCCTTTTGCTCTTTCCAGGTTAAAAGGCAAAGAAAGACCTGTGGCAGGAACTTACTAACAACCCCTTAAGTTCTGCCTTCATGTCTGCTGGATTTACTGCATAGACAGATGTGTCAGGCAGTCATGGTTCACAGCCCCAGGAACCTAGGCAAGGCTTCTCCTGCCATCGAGGACATAGTACAGGCAGATGGTATGTCTCTTCTATGCACCAGGACCTGGGTGTAGAGTCTTCCTTCCAGCCCCATCATTCGGAGTAGCCAGGTTCATCCTGTATCCAGGGCTCTTGCAGCACAAGTGTGAGATGCTCTGTGCTAAGGGAACTTCCACCCTACAGATGGTTTCCTTTGTTGCAAACTATTGCCCTCTCTTGATGAAGAAATCAATTGGGGGGAAAACCACAACACAAACAACAACAAAAACCTCATCAGCTTGTTTCCATGAGTGCAGACAACTATGGAGCAGAAATCCCTCGTTTCTTCCCTAAGTCACTCAGCAGAGAATCACAGGGAGTTTGCAGAGGGGAGCTTATTTCATGGCTTGGCTTGTTATTTCTCTTGGAATTGGGCGCCCAAGCCAGCATCTCCTTATTGAGTATGACCCCTATTAAGGAGACAGAGGTCAAGTTCTTACATGATGACAGACAGAGTGATGTGGAGTGTTAACGTATTGCTTTTGTCTACTCCCGGCTCCACTCTATCTGGATAGATCGACTTGTATCAAGTTCTAATACAGCAATCCAACTGGTCTGTTAGTTCTTTCTTTCACTGTGCTAGAAGAGATGAAATGTAACTATTTTTATCATGTCCTAAAAATATTTTCCGTTTAAGCCTTTGTGGCCTTACAATTTAGGTTGGCTGTGGTTTTGATGAACCATCAAGACCATCTCTGGGGGTGGGGGTGCAGGGGAGAAGGCGCTATTGCTGAAGCAGCTGTCACACAAGTATGAGGACCTGAGTTCGAACCCCAGAACCTACATAGAAATGCAAGGCATGGAGTCTTGTGATGTAATCTCAGTGCAGAAGATGTAGTGAAGGTGTTCCCTGGGGCTTTCTGACCAGCCAGCCCGGCCTTGGAGAGCACCAGGCCTGTCTCCAAAAATAAGGTGGCCTGATTTGCATGGAGAGAGACAGAGAGAGAAAGAGAGAGAGGAGAGAGAGAGAGAGAGACAGACAGACAAGACAAGACAGACAGACAGACAGACTTCTGGAAGACCACAGTGAATTTTGAAAAAAAAAAAAAAAAAACAAGAGCTGAAAGACCAATGCTGGTCTTCCTGCATTAGAGAGACAAGCACGGGTTGAGGTGGCTGAGCCTGGGGAGTAGCCAGCAAACAACAAAGATGCAGCCTCTGCAGGCACCATGGGAGGCCAGGGAACAGCAAAGATGCAGAAGTGGACCTGCAACAGTACTGGGTAGAGCACATCCCACTCCTAGGCACCAGGTACTCTACTGTGATGCTGAGGACAGGGCTCCTTGCATGCAATCATCCCTAAAGAGTTAACAACTGGCCCAAAAAGAAGTGCCATGAACTCAGAAGTGTGATGTTTCACAGAGTATTTAGTACCTTGTATTTTTTTTTTGCACAGCTGTCTCATATTTTGAAACACATATTTCTCTCTCTCTCTCTCTCTCTCTCTCTCTCTCTCTCTCTCTCTCTCTCACTCACACACACACACACACACACACATACTCACATACACACACACACAATAGTCCTTTACAGCAGTTTTATCGAGGTACAACTAACATTTCAGACATTTCATCCATCTAACATTGAATATCCAGCAGCGTTAAAATGTCCTAGAATTGTGTAACTATCACTGCCCTCAATTTAAAATATTTTATCATGAATTTTAAGCATGATAATACACTTTAAAAAATTTAAAGATTTATATATTTTTAGGTGCATGCTTGTTTGCCCACATGTATGCATGTATACCATGTATGTGCAGTCCCTGCAGATACCAGAAGGGGCGTTGGATATCCTGGAACTAGACTTCAAGTGGTTGTGAGCTGCCATGTGGGTGCTAGAGACAGAACTCTGGGCCCTCTGCAAGAGCAGAGTGCCCTTAACTGCTGAGCTATCTCTTCAGCCTTACTAGGTTCTTTTAAAACTACAGTCATGCTGTTATATATGGGCTCCTCAGAACTTACTTATCTTACAACCACAAAATATCTATACTCTTTAACCAAATGTATCTTACTTTATTCCAACTCCTGGTTCCTAGCAACTACCATTGTTTGCTGAGAATGTGAAATAATTTTAATGGAGAAAACAATGTTTCATGATTTTCAAAGAATACCTCTACCACACAGCTATTATCTTTATCTACTTTACCATCACACAGATGCTTGTGTATACACACACACGTGCAAGCGTGAGCGCGCGCACACATACACACACACACACACACACACACACACACACACAGCGAACCCTTCCCAGGCAGAGAAGATCACTAATCTACTTCTCTGCATAGCTGCATGTCCAAGATATTCCATGCCATAAGAAGTCCTTTCTACCTGGCTTTTTTCACTTAGCAAAGTGTCGTCAAGGTCCAGTAATTATCAGCAATCATTTCTTTCTTTTTTTTTTCTGCTGACTTTTTTGACCATCTTGAAATTTATAACACAACTGAAGTGAAACAAAAATGTATATGCCCTTTTTCACTGCCAAATGCTATTGAGAGTGTGGTGAAAGGCAGTCAGCGGAACAATGCAATCAGCTCACTCTCGTGCAGAACTGTGTGGCCACGTGGGATTTGAGTCTGTGTCTTTCCAGAATGCAACAGATACTGTGAGGCAACAGATTCCCCTTATTTCCCATCATGGAGAGCCTGTAAATCACACTTTTGGATGGTTTGCTTCAGTTTAAAAAGCGGAAGACAGACTCAGCTAAGTTACTGTTCGCCATGGCAGTCTTCTATGAAACTGAACAGATGGGAAACATCAAATTAGATGTGATGGACATGGTTTATGCAGCCTACGAACCAAATCAATAAAACACACAGCGATAACAAGTTGAGAGGGGAAACAATTAAGCACTTTGTTTTTAGCCAAGGAGATTTGATGTTGTGTGAGTTCAGTGCAGAGAGAGATGGAAAGACAAAAGGTTCCTGGCTGCTCGGCAGGAAGATGTCAATGCTGCAACATGGTAGCAGAGCTAAGCAGTGCTTTACATTTTCTCAAGACAAGAAATTGTGGTCTAATTCCAGCAAGACTTTCGTATGAAACAGAACTACAGTTTGCTTTAAAAGACAGAGGCGGCTGAGATGATTCCGTCTATAATAATACCTGCCTTTGCTTTACACTGGTTGTGAGTGATGCTTTATGTACCAATTTAAGCCACACCAGATGAGAACAGCTCCCAAATGTCATTGCAGTCTCAGTTCAGGGAGGCTGAGGAACCTGCAGACTCCCACACACTCAGAAAGTGATAGAGTTAAAGTTGAACACAAATGATCAGAGTATATGCCTATTCCAAACTTGCATGTTCTACTCTCTGAGTAAACACACAGGCAGGTAAGGTTATATGCTCAATAAGTGTGTTGCTGAATGTCAACTACATGAGTCTGTAAGCTGTGTGACTTGGAAATTAAGCTGAGTGGGAACTAATGCTTATTTTGTAAGCCAACTAACTGCCCAGAAATGAAGTAAATAGTGAACATATAATTTTGACTGCAAATGTTATGACTTTAAAGAAATAAAGATCCCTGCACAGAATATCCATGCAAACACTCTGGTATAAACACGCTGATGCTCCTGTTGTGAGCACATGACTTCTATTAGCATGTCAGCATAGCTTACCCAGCACTGTAGATGACAACATCATATCACAGCGTCAAAAGGTTGTCCCACCCCTGATCTAAGTGAAACCAAATTAAAGAGGATTAAAATCAAAGAGAAAGGACAGCAATCACAGCTTTTCAGCTTCCAAATTGCCCAGGTAGGTTCTGATGCTATGGTAGAAAATATCACAGTCACTCACACTGTGTCCCATTGCAGGCTGTGGCAAAGGGTTCTTTTTCTTTCTCAATCGTACCCAGGAGCAGCCAGAGATATAATCTGCCTTGCTGTTGCTGCTCCTTCATCATCTCACAGAAGAAAGGAAGAAAAGGAAGAAGGTCAATCTACATCCACACAGCATTGATGCCTATCACAAGGATTAGCCCAGATTAGCCACAGGACCCAGAATAAGTACAGGGTTCTGCAAGGGGTTGAACACCCTGCTCGGCTGCATGGTAACTACACCAAAGTTCACACAGACACTCTTTTTTTTTCCTATAAACTTTTCATTGATCGTTTTCAAAGTTTATATCATCAACCCTGATCACACACACTTCCCAGTCCTCCCATGACTGCCCCCACCCTTTAGACCTCTCCCCCACCAAAATAGAAGACAAAGAACAAAGTCACTTTGTGTTGCTCATATACTCACACAGACATCAAGCTGAAGAGAAAGTCTGTATAGAGTTTCTTCAATGTCCATCATAAAACTGGTGCTGTCAGGAGCAGACGTGTCTTATTGTCATGAAAAACCTTATGTTATTCAAACATTTTAAATGTCATATTCTGTAGGTCTTTGAAGTGTTTGAAGATCACCTATCTATCAAAAATATGTTTGACCTTAAAAACATACCTAACATGACTACAACTTTGATTGATATAGATAGCAAACTATTAACCTACATTTCTTTTTTATCCTAAATAGTTTATAAAAATAGATTTCAAGGACTAGAAATTTACATTACCTTGCTAAATTAGCTTTACAGGTACAACACCTTAACAAGAGTAGAAACTTATGTATAGTATGTCCTAACAAAAATAACCTTAAATTTTTATAAAATACCTTAAACAAAAGTAGAAAAATATACAGTATAACAAAGTAACCTTAAATTTGTATCAATATATAAAAATCCATACTAATGTAAAATATTTAAGATTAGTATTTGTTTCTTTTAGTTTAAAAGTAGACTCAATAAGCTATCTTTTTATCCTATTGTTTCATACTATATCCCCCCTTTCTTTTTCAGAAAGAGATCCCTGAATCTAATCTCATTTATTAATCTTTTTTCTGACCAAGACCAATAACAATTTTTAACCAACCCTCCCTAAACAATGATAAATATCCATAACCCATGAATGACCAAAAACCACCCACCTCATCTCTTGAGAAGGTGGGTGTTGCGTCTTTAGACTGATTCCTGTTGTCTGGGGGAGGAGGGTTGACATTTTGGAGATCCTTGAGAAAATTAGGATAATAGTTAAGTCCTGACTAGAATAATCTGTGAAGTTGGACCATCTCAGCCAGCAGCTGTGGAGCTGTTCTGAATGCAGAACTCTGAGGAAACTGCAGCAGAGGCATCTGAGAGGCTGGATCACCTGGGTCACTCATTGGTGTCTGGTTCCCTTGCTCTGAAAACACATCAACTTTCAAAGGTAACATACATGTCTGCATTAGCACAAGCATGGACTGTGCATTGTACGCAGTCCAGTCCAAGATGATTTGTTCTGTGTTTGAGCAGGGAAAACATATGTTGTAGCTTTTCTAGGTTTATTGCTTTGTGTCTGCAGCCAGGACTTTCAGGGGGTCTCCCCAGATCAAATCTGATCTCAGTCAACCTTCAATGAATCCACAGCCTTTCATTTTCTGTGAAAATAAAAGCATAACCTCTTCTCCAACACAATGTATTTTTGACTTCCATTTTGACCCCATCCAAATATAAATAATTCAAGGCCTAAGGAAGCCCTGTCACTGGTCCCATAGTCTCAGCTTATTAGCAAATCAAGCAAATATCAAAAACATCATAAATGGATCAGGCATGTTTGTGTATTCCTGTAAACCCTGGATTTGGGATGTGGACACAAGATGATCAGAAGCTCAAAGCCAAAACTATTATAGTAAGTTCCAAACCACCCTGGACTACAGAAGACCCCATCTAACAATGATCAAATTCGAACATCACAGAGGTAAAAAGACGCTCAGATCCAACAGTCAGACACAAATCCCATACGTATGAAGCAATTCATTCTCATACATTTTTCTCCTTGGCTAAACCCTCATCTTGGTGGCCTGATATATCAAGCATATAGTAAAGCTTCTTTAACTAGTAAATCTAACTTAAAAGTCTATAATTAATAACTAGATTCAAACATTTTTTCCCTCTAAGTCAGTTAAACAGGCTGCTATGGCAATTTGAATGAGAAATGTCCTCCCCCGGCTCAGGTACTTGAACACAGTCACCAGTTTGTGGCACTGTTTGGGAAGTGGTACAGCATTTGATGGAGGAACTGTATCACTTGGGGTGGGCTTGAGAGTTCATAACCTACCCTCCTTTCAGTTCATCCTCTCTGCTTTGTGTTTGCTAGTAAAGATATGATCCCTCAGCTTCCTGCTCCTGCAGCCAGACTTCCAAGCCATGATGGACTCTCATCCCTCTGGAACCATAAGCCAAAATAAACTTTCCTTCTATAAGTTGCTTTGGTCAGTGTTTTTATCACAGCAACAGAAAAGACCAATATAAGCTCCTTCATGTATTTTAGTAGACTCACGCATACACACCCCATGCAGACACAAGCAGATCTGATAGTTCTCATTGACATTTGTAGTTTGCCAGGGCTTAAAGTCTGTCATATTCCTTCATGTTCAGGAGAAATATGAAGCGGCTACAACATGAATTCCCTGCAATGCTTGGAAGGCCCGGGTTTGCATTTCCCTCCATTAGGAAGTGCAAACTGCCAGCTTCTGTGTCATCCAGTCAGGTACTGGAGGTCTGCAAGGGGATCCAACTCAATTACCTGTGGGACTCAATGCATTTTGGAATTACTCCAGTTTTCTGCAAGGGCTTCCGATGGTCCACACCACCTCTTCACAGTGCGAATGAGCACTGACAAAAGTCAAAACAGAAGCCAAAAACGTTTGGTGCTCAATGTAGCAGACCGATGTCAAGATCGAACCAACTCTAGAAGACAGAGGAACCCCCAAAGGGGCCAATAGAGCCTCTCCTGCATCCCTCAAGGACTCATGGGAGTTATCAGTACTTTCTTGTTGGCCCCTCATCTGCTCTAAGAGCTCTGAAGTTGTTAGAAAATTACAATTGGGATTTTGTTGCTCTTGGTTTGGCTAGCAGCACTAGAACTGGATAGCAGTCTGGACAGAAAACTGCAGACTGCTGTACCCCACCACTTCACAGCAGATCACATTTGTAGCCAAAGAAAAGAAAAACTACGTGCGGAAAATGGAAGGGAGGTATAGAACCTGACTGGTTACAGCCCACACTTGTCTTATCCGGCCACTTAAGGATTGGCTGAGATGCAGCAAAGTATTCTAAGGGCGGGTTATGAAGTAGCCTACAGTTCTGGGTTCATCATGTATTCTAAGGGCGGGTTATGAAGTAGCCTACAGTTCTGGGTTCATCATGAGTGGAGAAACCCTTAGGCACATCTTTAAATGTTATGAAGGCAGCTTTAGCCAACCCAACGCGTCTTTGGCAGCCACCATTTGGAAGATGGTATAGTGGATTTCAACAAAGGTGGTCTGGAGGCGGTAGTGTAGATACCTACTGTCAGAGATTGGAGGAGAGCGCATCCAATGTCACTGTGCCCCCAGGCCAGGTGTCCACAGCCCAACCTCAGTTCAGAGTTCAGCAAATCCAGACAAACTTAGACTCACCTACTCACTGCGCTGGAGCTTCCCTGACCCTGCAAAGCTGCAGAACTCACTCGCTCCTGAACTCAGCATGGGTTCATTTCTCCAAAGTACTCAGCCATTTCTGCCTCTCAGACCCTTGATGTTACAACACACAGCCTGCTAACACAGCTCTCGGGCTTCTTATCTCCCTGCCCTGTCTCCTGCTTCCCAAGTAAACTATCTTCATATAATTCTGTCTCAGGCTCTGGCTTCTGTAAAATCCAGTTAATACAAGAATATGATACAAATCCCCAGTGAGATATAAAAGAAACACGGGACCTCCAAAAATTAACTCTTCATTATTCCAAACACCAACATATTTCCTTGTCTGCAGTAGTTCTTAAAGTAATAGATAACATTGACCATTATGAGGTACCTCTGCACTCTAGTTCAACTGTATGCAAATACAAGCATTTCATTGTAGACCTTGGCTGTGGGAGGAATATGCCTTCCCTCAGAACATAGTTGTCACAGCAGAACCCAACAGGCTGTTGTTGCAACACTCTGAGCCACTGTGGATGTCTACATGGCCTCCTTTCAGACCACCAAGCCTGCTAAGAGACGGCCTGAGCAGCCAGCTCAGCTTCAACATCAATTGGCTCGCTGTAAAGAGCGAACATTCTCAAAAGCACTCACTTGTCTTCTAGAGATGCAAGTGAAGTTGGTAAGCTACCAACTTCAGGAGCTGGGGCCAGGACAAAGAAGGGAAGCACCCAGGAGACTGGCAAGCACTATGAAGCCACAGTGAAACAGAGGAGATAAAGAGAATTTTTATTGGAATCCAGAGTATAAATGATGACACCACTGTTTGTTGTTAGGAGAATCATATGCTACCGTGGACATGCTGGGTTTTCTCTCCAGAACTTAATGGCAAACATCCCATTGTTCCAAGACTTCAGTAACAGACTCGTGTGCAATTACATATCTGACACAATATGAGATCTTTTCCCTTTTATTTATGCATCTTTTTTCTTCTTATTTATTCATCTCTCATGCAATACATCCATCCGAACTGGTTTCCTCTCAGCTCCCTCCTCCCTTATCCAGGGCTCCTCCATTTCCCTTCAGAAAAGAGCATGCTTCCCAGGGATAGCAACTGAGCATGGCATAACAAGATGCAGCAAGACCTTGCATCATCACTGCTGAACTATAATTAAAGACACTGTGAGTCAAAAGAGTGCTTCTCCCTTGATTAAAATGCAAGTCAACACCACAATCTATGCGCACTGATTGTCCTCTGCAGAGAAGATGGTGCTGTCTATGCAGGACGAGGGAGCACAGGAACCTGTCCCCACACGTGTCATAAAGCCACCGTTTCCTCCACACTTCTCAGCGCGAGGCACGGCTGCAGTGTTTGACATTAAGAAGCCTAAGGTTTCCAACTTCTAGTTAAGAATCATATTTTAAAAATAGAAAATGCCTGGAAGTCATTATTTAATTTTTCAGTGTCCAAAACTTTAGAGTTTTCTTTTCTTTCCTTCCTTCTTTCCTTTTTTGTAAAATAGAATTAAGTATGTCGTCTTCACAGTGAAATTAATGTAGCAATATTTCTATTCAAAAGACATTTATACTTGAAGTTTGTAGGGGTAGCCCCAGCCAATCACCTTGCTTGTAGGGCGGGGTTGCCTGAGGATATTTTTTACTAATAAATATTGCTGGTGTACTCTCCCCCTCCCCTTCTGCTTTCCTGTTCTCTGCTGGAACCTCGGGTTCTATAAGTCTTTTACCAATTAAAGCTGAATATATTATTATAATTTCTGTCTGCCTTCATTTATGCCGCTACAGAAGTTTTATATGGCTATAATATGAAGCCAAATTCCAACTTTTTATCAACTTTTAAAAAATCATTCGAACCCTTTCTCTAAACCTTGAATTGGGGTCTTTGTGTTCTTGACAGTGAAATCAGACGCATGGTCTTCAGATCTGAATCATGTGTGTCACTAGGATGTCTTCGGGTCAGGATGCTATGAGGGCAATAGCTGGGTAGCTTCACTCTTCCAGAAGGTTCTGACCCTCTTGAGCCCCAACGGACGTCATGTTCTTTGTTTATATTTGATTCGGCATCTCCCTTCTGGCTGGGGGACACCCACCAAATGCAGACAACTCTAAAAAGCAGAAATGTAGAAGAGATACAGAAACGAAGACAGAAGTCAGCAGCTTTAGTTCCGTCTTCCCCGGCTGTGATTTCTAAAAGGTATGGAGCAGAGGCTGGAAGGCTGGGAAATGCTCGTACTGCCAAGTTTCAAAACACTGAGCATCAACTTTACCGTTGGAGGTGTAGGGAAGAGAAAGCGAGCTTATTTTAATAATCTCTCAGCTCCACATACATTCACCTGGGTCTGCCTGCTGCCTACCCTTCTCCCTATCAGGCTGAAGGCGCTTTCTACATCCCTGGCTCAAAAGCTATGACACCTTGTGTAGGAAAGTCAGACAACGTGGCACAGATACAGGTATCTGGCATGAGTCAACTGAAACACGGCTGACACCCGATACCAAGGGGACAGGGTCAGCTAATGATGGCTGACAGTAGATGCCTGGGGAGCCCCAAAGGAAAACAGAGACGCAAAGACAGATGACCGCTGCTGAGAGAATGCCACTTTGTGTGACTCTATGGAAACATGACCTTGAGGTTGGAGGGGAATGCCTTTGCCTTTCTCTTCTGTGGTGGTTTGACTAAGAAAAGTCCCCCACAGCCTCAGTATTTGAACACTTGCTCCCCAGTTAGCAGTGCTTCTGATATACACAGAAGTATATCACAGGGGGTGGGCTCTGGGTTCAGAAAGCCTGGCCAATTCCAGGTTACCCTTTCTGCTTCATGTTTGTGGTTCAAAATGTAAATCTCAGCTCCCTTTTCTTGCCGCCATGCCTGCTGCTTGCTGCCATGTCTCTTCAAGCCATCATAGATCCTTATCCCCTCAGAACTATAAGCCCAAACAAACACCCCCTTTTATGAGTTGCCTTGATCATTGTGTTCTATCGCAGAGACAGAAAAGCAGCTAATATGCCTTCCTACCTGAGCTCTACGTGGGAGTAGGCTTATGTGCCTGTGTCCCTGCGTGTGGCCTTTGCATGTCAACCTGTGTGCCAGTAATTATGTCTTGTATCTACATGATTCCTTATATTTTTTCAGCCTCCCAGCCTTCTATAGCCCCCCTTTTCTTGGCTCTGGAGCTTGGACCTCACACCCAGCTATACTTGGCAATGACTTGGAGCTGGTGGGCAGACCACAGCCACACTGTTAGTATGACTTTCACGTGTGGATTTGTTTTGCTATGGAAGCATAACATCTGAGTTTGTAGGACAAGGTAAGGAGTATCAGTCTACTGCTAAAGAAAGAATTCTAAGGTTTAGAGATATAAAAAGCTCTGTCGGTCTTGAGCTTTGGGGGGGAGGGTCAATGAAGACTTAGAAAGGAGGGGGATCCAATTTAGGCAATCAGCCTTTTTATTTTCAAGGACACAGAACGGATTCCTTAACTACCAATCTATTGATAGAATGGATTGCATAGTTCATGAGCCCAGTGAAGTTGAACCCCTAGTTACACATGAAGCCATAGGTGCTGCTCTAAAGAGAGCTGCACAGAATTCTGTTTTCTAAGGTGCTGGATGTCCTGCTAGTCCCTGGCCGGAGCCTGCAGTCTACAATGGCCTGTGAGCTCTCTCCAAGCTTGGCAAGACGGCAACCCCCTCCCTCTGGCGAAGGGCACCTTGCTCTCTAGCGGCCCTTATCTGGAGAACGTCTCTAGGCCGGGTGCCTGAATTACCTCTAGTGTGACCTTGGATACAGTTCCCTGCAGAAGCTTTCTCCCTGCGGCCCTTATTGTAATTAGACAACTGTGCACCCATGACAACTAAGACTCGTACTAGGAGCTTCATGCTAGGAACGTGCTATTTAATACAAATTAGGTAATTCCTCAACTACTGTCCCCAGTCCTATATATCCCCCGTACTCTGGAATAAAGCTGAGCTAATTCACTGACGTTAACTCCTGCAGGGCTATCTCTGTCATAATCACAGGTTGGACAAGGTCCTGCTTGTCACTTCTAACCCCTTTGTCCCCTTGGCCTCCTTGGCCAGGTGGCCCACTGGCTTTGGGAGAGAAGGGGACCCACACTAAGGATTTGCACCCTAAAAATGCTCCAATGGAACAAAACCACCCGAACCAGTAAAAGATGTGCCTAACATTGGAGTGGGTTCATGGATGGATGCCAGGACTAGTGTGGCATATAGCTTACATAAAGTTTTGCTGCATTTCCTCATCATTTGATTCATAATGAGAGAGAAATAAAATTATATTTATTTTTTTAAAAGGAAATATATGGTCGCGGGGTCACAAGAGTGACAGAGTGGCCCTGCACCTCATCTGTGCAGCATAATAGAGCTGATTCTCTTTTCAGGGGCATAGGTGGTTTTGCCCCACAAAGCTGTATGAGAGATCTGACCCCACTCCTCATCGGCCATATGGTGGAGTGGGTGATGGAAAGGTGCCCTCTCCTATCCTCACCCCTTGCCACCTGTGGCAGGTGGGAGAACTAGCATTAAAGTCACGAGAGTGGGAGAACTGGTCCTGGACCTCACCAACCGCAGCACTCGGGCGAACTGGCCCTGCACCTCTCCTGGACAGCACAGCAGAGCTTTGTGCTTACTATCTTTACAGGGGGGTTGGGTTTTCTGCATCTGGTCCCCTTCTGAATGGCCCAAGGGCTACTACAACATTCAAAACAAAGAGTTCATGTATAGCCTACTGAAGACCTTTATATGGAGCCAAGGTCAAATTTAAGGGATTCCCTCAACACATGGCAAGTACTGAAAGCCACATGTTTCTATCAAACTGTAATATTACAAGTCATAATAATGCTAGTAATTCTAAAAGCACTTACCTGCTTTGGTAATGGGTCCAGAAGGCTGCAGTCATATTTATAAAGCACTAAAATAATACATATCTGGATCTCTAGCAGGGCAAACCACCTGAAGGAAAAACATAAGACAATTGTCTCTAAAAGATGCATGAATACCTACCTCTTCTTAATATCACATATTCCACTGAGTGGTTGGGATGGATGGCTCAGTTGCTTTAGATAATGCATAAAATGCTTAGTTATTAGGCAAACACAATTAATAAAAATCTGCTCTTTAAAGATGTATTTTATCTTTGAGTACATAGGTAATGTCTAGGTGTGCATGTGCACAGAGTATGCATGTATTCTCAGAGGCCAGAAGATAACCAGGCACATGCACAAATGTATAAACAAAAAGAAACCAAAATTTTACACTGTATCTTAGCTAAAGGAAAAGATATGATTTTATCCAAATTTAAATATTTGGATATTCTAGTAAGATTTTCTCTAGTACCCAGTGAAGGAAAACTTTTTGGCAATGGCAAAATAAAAGTTTTAGGCATTTACTACTATGTTGAGTTTTCTTCCGTGGCTAACACTAGAATCTGGCCATCGGTGACACTGTGTATTTTTTTTTTATCAGAGTTCTTCAGAAGCCAGCTGAGATATGTTCATGCTAAGAATGTTTCCCCAACACTTCCATGTCAAAAGAGTGAAAATAATGAGGTGTGTTATTTATAACAGACTCGGCTTTCACACTTAGAGGGACAGGAGTGCACATCTAGGAAGACAACTCACTAAAATACAAACATGGTGAAAATTCCTCAGATACTTAGCACTTGTGGGCTTTCACCATTTGTAAATACTTGTCTGGACACAGCTGCAGCGGCTTTGTGGAAAATGAGTTCCTAGCAAACCCAGCACTGCCAAGACTAGGGCAAGAGGTAACAGCAACAACCAGGCCAAGGGGATATGGCAAAGGTGGGCACAAAGATGCTGCAGGGATCCGGGGTCTGGAGGGAACAGGGACCTGGATATTCCTGCAGGAAAACCTTGAGATTGACCTTCAGGAAGGACATAAGCAGGCATGGTGACTAATAGTGTTTCAGAGCCAGGGCACCAAGAGAGGGATCATGGGGGCCTAGAGACAGCTGAGCAAGCCCTGGGGAAGGGTAACCAGGGACTCACAAAAGTGCAGCTGAGGTCAGATTAGAGGGCTACAAGTCCTGACAGGATAAGGGTGTGATTTACAGCTGTGGTTCAGGCTCCTAAGCAGAGTGGCGTTCACAGACCTTCCAGGAGACTTCATCAGTGCACACTAAAGATGGAATAAGAGAATGGTGGGGAGTCAGGTTAGATGATAATAAACTACCACTTGTGGACCTGGATCCACGGGAGAGAACACAGGCGGGGTGCCAGAGTTGGGGTGAAGGTGGGTAAAAGACAGCACCAATCCTGGATTTCTTGGAAGAGAGCAATGTATACCAAAGAAACAGAATGCTTATGGAGTGCTAGGACCGGGTGGAGCTATTTCAGTTTAGGTGCTCTGATTTTGAGTGAACTTTTATTGTTGCTGTTGTTTCTGTCACTGTTGGTTTCAAGGCCAAGAGGTCCTGGAACCCCATATGCAATCCCAGGCTGTCCTTGAACCTCCTCAGTCCACTGAGTACTTGGATTTCAGGAGTGCGCCACCACGTCTGGATTCTCTCTGACTTTTCGAAAGGAAAACCTCTCTCTCTTCTTCCCTCCTAGAAGTCACTGCAAGCAATGCCAGCTAGGGCTGGAAAACTGTCCCTGTTGCCAGGAGCAGGAGCTCTGCCGTGTATTCCTGGTTGCTACCAGCTGCAGCTCATGAAAATAGAATGCTCTTGCCCTGGAATTCGGAGACGGCAGCAGGCAGGCATAGTTACAGAGGCAGCATGCATTGAAGCATAGCTAGTCAAGGAGAGGTGTCTCCCCAGCCTCATCTTAAAGAATCTTGGAGGAAAATAAAAATCAAGTCTGTGGCAGGAGGCAAAATAACCCTGAGTCAATGGTTCTCCAATTTTAGCATCTGCCAGAATTTCCTGGGAAAACTGGGAAGGCAGAACTTTCCACACCTTACCCTCTGGATTTCTGACTCCAGAGGTCTGGGACAAGACAAAAGATCTGTGTTTTGTGCAGATTTCTAGATAGTACTTCCACTGGCGGTGTGGAGCCCACAATATGGAAATTGATCATTTAGAGGAACTTAGTGAAGAGAAGTGAGGAATGCATGCTGGGAGGTGTAAATTTATCATTCCTTTTAACTTGAGTGCCCAATGTCCACGTGGCAAAGAATACAAGAAACGGGTTGGCTGAGGCACCAGACTTTTGACAGAGGATAACAGTAAGTATAAACAGGAAGATGAAAGGTAAACACTTTGTGCTGAGTGAGAAAAGCCAAAGGAAAGAAGATATGAAGATAAGGATGGTGTCGGAGTGAGGTGGGGTGAGAAATGGTACAGAGGGTAAGAGGATTTGTTGTTCTTTCGGAGGACCGCAGTTTGGTCCACAGGGATTTGCCTTTGCTCTCTGAGCCATCTTGCTGATCTTAATCTCTCTCTCTTCCTCGTCCTCCTCCTCCTCGTCCTCGTCCTCCTCGTTGTCCTCCTCCTCGTTGTCGTCGTCTTCGTCGTCGTCGTCGTCGTCGTCGTCCTCCTCCTCCTCCTCCTCCTCCTCCTCCTCCTCCTCCTCCTCCTCCTCCTCCTCCTCCTCCTCCTCCTCCTCCTCCTCCTCCTCCTCCTCCTCCTCCTCCTCCTCCTCCTCCTCCTCCTCCTCCTCCTCCTCCTCCTCCTCCTCCTCCTCCTCCTCCTCCTCCTCCTCCTCCTCCTCCTCCTCCTCCTCCTCCTCCTCCTCCTCCTCCTCCTCCTCCTCCTCCTCCTCCTCCTCCTCCTCCTCCTCCTCCTCCTCCTCCTCCTCCTCCTCCTCCTCCTCCTCCTCCTCCTCCTCCTCCTCCTCCTCCTCCTCCTCCTCCTCCTCCTCCTCCTCCTCCTCCTCCTCCTCCTCCTCCTCCTCCTCCTCCTCCTCCTCCTCCTCCTCCTCCTCCTCCTCCTCCTCCTCCTCCTCCTCCTCCTCCTCCTCCTCCTCCTCCTCCTCCTCCTCCTCCTCCTCCTCTTCTTCTTCTTCTTCTTCTTCTTCTTCTTCTTCTTTTTTGAGACAAGTTCTCAATCTGGCCTCCAAATCACAGAGGTCTGTCTGTCTCTGCCTCCCAAATGCCAGAGTTAAAGCCATGCACCACCATGTCCAGTCCACTCCAAAGAATGCTGCTGGATTCAGTTCTGGCATTTTGCTGAGTTTTATTATTAAGAATGTGATTTTTTTTAAAAAAAAATAATCTTTTGATTTTTTAAGTATGAAAGTTTCTGTTTTGCTTGAATTTATGCCTGTATCACATTGTGCAGTGGCAGCCAAGGCCAGAAGAAGGCATAGGATCATCTGGAAATAGAGTTGTTAGCTACCAATTGGGTGCTGGCACTGAATCTGGGTCCTTCAGGAGTAACAAGTCCTCTTAACCCCTGAGCCACTACTTCTGGGTTTCTGCATCAATTGTTCATAGGAAATATTGAGCTATTGTTTGCTTTGTAGTGTTTCTGTGCAGAGTTGACTGTGGTAGTGCTGACCTCATCAAATAAATTAGGAAATTCTCTCTCCATGTTTTGAACAAGTTTGAAAAGGGTTAAGATTCCTCAGTGATGCACCCAAAGGCTTTGGGTAAAGAAAAACAAACAACACCTAAAAAGAGTAGATAGGAAGAGATATTCAAAATCAGGGATGATGAAAGTAATAAAAAAAAGACAGGGAAAATACAAATAATCAATTCTATGAGAAGTTGAGTCTTTAAAAAGATCAATAAACTTTTAGCCAAATTAAAGAGGAAAGGCCAAATTTTATAAAATCTGAAATGAAAAGCGAGTCATTACAACAGACATTGAGGAGATTCAGAAAATCTTAAGGACAAACTTTGTTCACAAAATAACATCAAGTACCTATAATATACACAATTAAAAGCATAAAAGTAATACAACAAAACTTTGGTGGGTACTGAGAGATGGTGAATTTACTGTACCGATATTTTTCTTTTTTCTGCTTATCTATAATCATGACTGTTCTAATAGCTGGCAAAACTCATTTTAAATGTAAAAGTAAGTTCATGACATTTTGTAAAAGGGGAAAAGATATATTTATAATACTGCTCTCCAATTTTGAAAGAAAAAAAAGTCATATGTCACTATGGAGAAGCTAAAAGAAACCAATTTCTAAATGTATATGACCTACTAAAGTTAATCACGATGAAATAAGTAACTTAGACACTAACAACCAATGAGATAGCAGTAGTTAATCTCCTGACCAACAAGAGTCAAGGGCCAGATGGATTCACCAGAGGATTATACATGCAGCACAACTGCATACACAGACTCACAGTGGCTGGGGATGAATGCCAAGATCTGCACAAAATCCCAGCAAGGGTTCTAGAGGGACCCATGAAGTCCCAGCCCTCTGTGAGGAGCTATTGGTAACTGATGGCTGCTGGGAAAGGGAGAGAGAGAGTAGAAAGGGAGAGAGAGTAGAGTCAATTTTCTTCAGGGATGTGATCCAGGAAATGGACCAATAGCCATGCACATACAGGCAGCCCTAGGTGGACTCAGTGGGTATTTTTTAATGAGAGAGAGAGAGAGAGAGAGAGAGAGAGAGAGAGAGAGAGAGAGAGAGAGAGAGAGAGAAGGAGGGGGAGGGGAGGGAAGATACAAAGTTGGAAAGGAGAAGTGGTGGAATGGTAGAAGAGGAATTGGAGGGAATGAGGGTGGATATGATCCAACATTATATGTAAGTACGACAGGTAAATATTAAAATGAACAATCACAACAGAAACCATCAGCTTCTCTGTCTATGTGCCTCTCTATTTATCCGGCAGGAAATGACTACTCTAGAAGTCTCAGTAAGTACCCTAACAGCTAACTTTCTTGGTTCAAACACTTGCCATCACCTAAACTAACAACTGTAGGAAGGAAAAGAGAAACCTGGGCTTGAACACACTAATTCACTGAAGGTACAGTGACCCACATCAGTAAAGCCACAGAACAACATGGCTCTTCATGTGAAAATTAAGAC